TCTACGACCGCTACGTGCGGCCGCCCGAGCCCGTCGTGGACTACCGCACGCGCTGGAGCGGCGTCACCCGGCGGCACCTGAAGGGCGCCATTCCCTTCAGGGCGGCCCGCGCAGAGGTGAAACGGGGACGGGCGGCCCCACGGGGCGGGGGGGGTGACCGTGCCAGGGATTTAGCCCATTTCCTCTTGGCGTGATCCGCTCCCAATAGCTTTTTTGCTGGGATTCAGGCAAACGCATGGTGTGTCCCTAGCTGTGACAGCACCTCCTTTTGGCCCCTCTCATGGGGGGCTTTTGTTATAAAAATGGTGCTGCTTTTAGCTTGTACCTGCTGCTGGTCGCTCGGGGTTTTGCCAGGGAAGCTCTGGACCCCTGCAGACAAACCCTGGGCAGGCGGCAGCAGCAGCCCCTGCAGCAGGCCTGTGCCTGGGGAGGGGTTAGAAATAGCCCGTGACGCTCTGCTGTACCTGGGCTGCCTGCGTTCTGTCAGCACAGCCTGGGGTATGAGAGGACCCACACAGAGCTGCTCTGATGTAGGGACACGAGCACAAAGCCAGGAGCCACCTACGCCTTGTCCTTGTCCACGCCAGACTGGTTTGCTCTAGCTGAGCCTCCGTGGCCTTGGGCTTTAGGCAGTGCTCTGTGCACCTGCCCTGTGCTGCTCTGGACTTGAGTTACCCCCTGTAATGGGACCTTGTTTATCACTCGCTACTGGGACCCAAAAGACTAGAACCAAAGATAATAAATGTAATGCAAAAGGGTTTATTTTATACTTTGTGTTTCATTTGCTGCACTGCTTGTCTAACCTCATCTGACCCTTCCAGATCCTGAAGATCTTGAAAGACAAGATTGTGGTGGGACACGCCATCCACAATGACTTCCAGGCTCTCAAGTACTTCCATCCAAAGGAGAGGACCCGAGACACAAGCTGCATCCCTTTGCTGAACCAGAAGGCAGGAATACCTGTCAAAGCCAATGCTTCTCTCAAGAGCTTGGCCAAGCATCTGCTCCACAAAAATATCCAGGTGAGCACCAGCCTCCCTGGTGCTGCAGTCATGATCCCTTCAGTCCACAGTCAAGCTGGGGGAGACCAGCTCCCGTAGCTGAGCTGCCATTCGGCACCTCAGGGAAGCAGGGAGCCCCCAGGCAGTGCTGGGGACTATAACCCCCCATAAGAAGTGCAGACGTCCAGGCCTGTGTAAGGCTGGATCTGACCCTTGCTGTCTCTGAGCATTTGTCCTCATGAGCAAGCAAAGAGACTGTTTTGAGCCCCTCCTAATAGGACTTTCTCCCCTTTGCTTTCAGGTCGGCTGCAAAGGGCACTCGTCAGTGGAGGATGCGCAGACGACCATGGAGCTCTACAGACTGGTGGAGGTGGAGTGGGAGGAGGAGCTGGCCAGCAGCCTGCCCCCCAGGCCCCCCAGTCCCCCCAGTCCTGTCGCAGACAGTGCCCAGTACATGGATGACCGGTACTGGCCTGCAGACCTCAATGTGGACAACCTGTGATGGGCAACAGCCTCTCTGCAGGTTTGAGACGTCCTGGTGGCCTCAACCGCCAGGAGCAGAGGTGGCTGCAGGTGCCCACGTCGTGGTCTGTGGGGTGCTTCCCTCCCCCAGGGTTTGTACCTCTGCTGCAGTGTCTCAGTGTGGATGGTGACGTGGTTGGTGCCGTCACCCAGCCCGTGCTGAGGGAAGCGCAGGTGGCAGCGCCAAGGGCGTCCCGCTTCTCGGCACTGCCAGCTCAGTGGGAGCGTTTGCTGATGGAAGACGATGGCACTTGGAAACACTCGTGGCCTTTTGGCCTTCTAGAGCCTTCCCCAAGTGCTATAAGGGGAAGTGCTGTGTGGGGAGGTTCCCTTCCTTGCACTTAGTGGTGTGTTACCCCACCGCCCCCAGCTGGGATCAGGCAGGATGGAGCACCCCCAGCCTCGGGGCATGGTGGGCTCCTGTGCACCCTGTCTGTCCTGTGCCAGCCCTTCTCTCGGGCTCCTGGCTGTGCCAGGCTGCAGGCTTGGGGGCAGGGAGCCTTGAGCCTCCTCTGGGAGGAGGAGGAGGCAGAGCCCTGCAGCTCCCTGCTGCCAGGGGCTCCAGACATCTTGGAATAGGATATCAGGGGACCAACATACGGTGGCTTCTCAGAGGGTAGGAGGAGTAGCCCTCCATGGTGGTGGGCAAGTGACTATTGCTGCTAATTTCCTACCTCTTCCCTGAATCTTTGGTGATGAGCAGGACCCCGATGTGGCCCTCTTAAATGGTCAGAAGGAAAAGCAGTGTTTCCTTCTCGCTGCCACCACTTGGGGCAGTTGCAGAACTGTGCAAGAATTCAGGTTGTCAACGACTTGTGAGTCCATAATGTACCTCACAGCCATGGCACAGCAGTTTATTGTTGTCTTGCTGACACCTGAAAACTACACAGTCCAGGGCCAGTTAAACAACCATTTTCCTTCCCAATTTCATTGCACAATGAAGGCTGAAAGTCCAAGTTTAATGAGGATGCACTAGATTTAAAATCAAACTATTCATATATTTGTCAAATTGTGAATTAAAAATCATTGATTGCAGAAAAAAAAAGTGTGCAGGTGTGTTGCTTGCATGATCAGATGGGGAAATTCTCCAGGAGGGAGCAGGTTCAGGACTGCTTGTCTTGCCTTCTGTGTCACTGGCTGCATTATGGGCTGTGCTGCAGCAGCCACAAATCCATGTTCAACCAGAAGAAGGTAGTTGGTGACCCTCCAATTACTGTTCCCTTCAAGGTGGCTTTTGAGTCCCCTGTCCTGCAGAAGGTCCTTGATGAGACACCGCTGGCAGCGTTGCTGTGTAGGTGGGGCCTGCCTGCCCTTTTGCAGCAGAGAGAAGCTGCCTGGTGTGCAGGATTGCAAGATGAGGGTTGCTCGGGGCAAGGGCACGTCATGAAGAGACAGTTTGAAGAAAGAACATTTGAAGGGAAAGTGTCACAGGGTGTCACCCAACCCCTCCCAGGGCAGGGCTGGCAATGCAGTCTAGTCACAGTCTGTAGTCCACTTGCTCCTGACTCACAGGGACCTCCCCACACTAATGAGGATGAGCCTGTTATTAGAGCAGCTGCTTCGACGCCTGGTTTAGAAGAGAAAACCTGGTCTGAGCTGGCGTTTTTATGAATGAAGTGAGGCTGACAACAGTCTTGTGCTGCGGGGAGGCTGGTTCAGCCCTGCTTCCCTGAAGTTGATCATTGTATGAGTCACCTACATTTGGTATACTTTAAAAAATACAATTTTTAAAAGCCTGTTTCTCACGTGGCTGGTACTTCGAAGCCCTGTCTCTGCCTGTGATCCCAACACAGAGGCATGCGTTGCCTCAGGGCAACCTGCCACGTTGTTTGATAACATGTTCCTTGATCACCAAAATAGGCCCTTAACCAGACTGCAGCAGGTGACCCGAGCGGACAGTGTGACTGCTAAAATGCCAGCCAGCATCTCCCCATGTCTGCACGCACAAACTGCCCTCCTGCCTGCGCTCTGCGTGGTACCGGTCTGACAGGGATCTGCACAGAGCACCTCAGGGCAAGAGGTGCCAGTGCTGCAGGAGCCTCACGCTGCTGCAGAGTGTCCCCCCTCCGCACTGTGGCCATCGCGTCCTCGCTGGCCACTAGCCCGGCCTGCAGCTTTGGGCGCTGCTCCCGACACGGCGAGCCTGGCTCTTGCAGGTCGGGAGGCAGCAGGATGGTTCTGGAGGTGCATCCACCCGCAGGGATGCCCAGCAGCACCACGGAGCCTCTGGGCAGCCTGGCCATGGAGCGGGCACAGGAGCCAGCGCTGAGCGAAGGCCGGACGGGGTCAGCGGCGCTTCCCTGCGGACAGCGGGAGGGAGGGCTCAGGCGGAGCCTTGGGAAGCGGCCAAGGCAGCGGTGACGCAGGCACAGGCACACCTGACGCAGCCACCGCTGCGATTACCAGGCGCCTCTCACTGCCTTCCTTAACGCTTCCCTGCCCGGGAGACGGTGCTGAACGGCTCTGCCCTACACAGAACAGCGCTAAAATGTGGCAGGGTGCAATGTCCAACAGGTGGGCTGCTCTCTTTAAAGAAGTATTAATGACTCCCCTTTAAAGAAGTATTAATGACTCAATATGCTCAATGAAGTTGTGGTCTATCCACCCTCCAGCAGAGAGGAAAGACACAGGTAAGAACCAGGGCAAGGTCCTTGAAACCTGCTGGTGTCAGCCTGTGTCAAGCATGTTCCTGAGCCCCACAAGCACCCCCGCCTGCCCCACACGGCCCTCCCTGGACACAGCGATGGCTCCCGAGAGGCCACGTCCCCGCCGGCCGCCCCGCACAGGGCAGCCCCACACAGGGCACCCTTCAAGCCGGCCGCCACTCGGGTTATTTATCAGCCTCGGGCGGCTGCCAAGTCTCTCCCGCTTTCATCTCGATTGAGAGCCGGGGCGAAAACACAAGGACGGGGCAGCACGTTGGTGAAAACGTGCGGCGGGGCGGGCGGGGAGCCAGGCCCGTCCCCCGGCGCCCCGTCCTCGCGCCGGGCACGCGGCCGCGGGACGTGCGGCCCCGGGGGGGCCCTGGCTCTGCAGACAGCGCCCGCCGCGGGGGCAGCGGCGCGGGGCGCCCCGGCGCGCGTGCCGGGCTCGGTGACGCTCGCGCACCCAGGCCCCGCTGCCCGGCGTGACGCGGGCGCGCGGCTCGCAGCGGGGCGAGACCGCCCCGGGCGGGCAGCCCCCGGGCGGGCACCCCCGGCCCTGCCGCCACTCCGCTCGAGGCCCGGGCATGACGGGGAGCCGTCCCCAAAGGGGTGGAAGGGCACGAGGCGGTAGCAGCCTGTGACTCATTCTGTGCTGCAGGCAGCCACGGGCGGCAAGAGAGAGGAAATAGGGGAAAAACAGCATCAGAAGATGACATCTAAAGCCATGACCATGAAAATGCTTTGGAGGGAATCGCTTCCAAAAGCCTGCCGGGCTGAGGCGAGAGGAAATACATCGGATCAGCTCTAGTGTAAGGGACAGATTTTTCAAAGTGCTCAATCTCTGTATTTTGGGGACGATTTTTCCCTCCGTTTCTATCACTGAGGCTTTCCATGGTTGTTGAGGGATCCTCCTGGAAACAGCTCTGCACTGGGATGGGAAAACATCCAGCTCTGTCTCACAGTCCACGTACTGCAGAGTTCGGCCTCCAGCTTCACAACACTGATTTAAATCCCCTGTAGAAACATTCCCTGCTTGGGTGACAAATGTGCTGTCCTTATGCCCACTGGAGCTCACGCATCCTGCAAGTTTTGCCAATTTGCTGTTTTCTCCAGACCATGGGGAAGCCGAGGAACAAACTGGGGCTCAGCCCTGACTCACATTAGCTTTCAATGGCTGGAAGAAAACACCGTGCGGTCTTGAGCCCGTGGTAGCTCCAAGGCTTGGTCACTGAGGAAGAGAGATGGGCAGGAGTACCACGGAGGAGTTTTCCTTCGAGTCCTTTATGAAAATCTTCCTAAGAAACAAAGCACTGGTGCAGGAGAAAACCTGATGGCAGATGACAGGGGTAGGTGGTGGTGGCAACCCGCTCCATGCCGGGTGAGGCGAGCGTCAGACCCCAATGTTTGCTACGAATAACATTAATGAATAACATTAATGACAACTTTCGCTCCCCGTTCCAGCTGCTGCAGCATTCAACAGCTAATCGGGACTTTCACAGATGTTTGTGAATATTCACCTAAACGTCAGGGAATCGCTATGGCCGTTATTCGCCCTGTTTTATCCTCGTCCCGGCGTCGTGGTGCTCCTGTCGGAGAGCTCAACATCCTCACGCAGGTGGAGGAGGGTGGGAGCAGCTTTGAGGCTGGCTGAAAATCACGGCAATTTGAGAATTCACAGTACACTTGGCCGTTGCCTGAGTGCCCCTGAAAAATGATTAATACAAACCCGTGAAACCAGCAATGGGGACTCGGGGCTTTTTTATCAGAGGAAAAACATTGGCAAATTAGTTTTTCAACCAGCTGCAAGAGCAGGTAACTGATAAGCTCGTCATTGGAGTGAATTTGAACCAATGGGAGCAGGTGGGTGACAGCGTTTACTTCTGTCTAGCAACAGCCTCCCCTGGAGCACCGCCCAGCAGCTCAAACTGAGAGGTGCTTCTCTTGCTGCTGCCGCGCTTGCCCCTTCCCTGCTGAAAGGAGGTTTCCATGGGGGACAGTCACTAGATGAGCCCCAGTAGATCGTCCCTAAGGTTCTGCATGGTTGTGGTGCCGCTTCCATTCCCGTCTGTGCAAGATGTGTCTCCTCTCACCTGCTTTGCCCCGCTGGTCCAGGAGGCTGCACAATATCCGCAAGGGCTGAGCAGAGCCCCTTTACCCCAGCATGACTCTGGATCCTCCTGCTGATCCTCCTCTGCTCCTCTGCTCCCTCGGGGCTCTTTTCCCCTCTCCACCCCAGGGCATCAGCTGGGGCCCTGCTTGTGCTGGGTGGATGTAGGATGTCCTTTGAGTGCTTGAAATATTTAGGAGCCTAAAGAGCAGTTTTGAGTCAGCGCCAGGAAAGGCAGCTCTGGGGAGCACCCTGTTCTCCCTGCTTTGGAGCAAGTGTGAGGCTGCAGACTGGCTGTTCGGAGGCTTTGCAGGGTAAATCCCCTTGGAGCGGGTTAGTGAGATCAGCAGTGCAGGGCGAGGGTGAATTAGAAGGCAGAAAACTTGCAGCCGGCCATAAATTAAAATCCCTGGTGCCTCAATAACGCGCCTGGCCATAAGAAGGCAATAGGGGTGATGTGGGGCTGGGTGGGCACCTCCGCTCATGGCTGTGGCCGCAGGAGGGGCACGTGGGCGTGTGTGGGGCAGGCAGGCATGTATGGGGCCTGTGAGTGTGTGTGGGGCAGACGGGCACACGTGGGGCAGGTAGGTGCATGTGGGGCAGACAGGCACACGTGGGGCAGGCAGGTGCATGTGGGGCAGGCGGACACAGGCGCAACCCGCCCGCGTGGCCGCCCCGATTGGCCGCCGAGGCGCCGCGCGGCCGGCGCCAGGGGCCGGCGTGGCCTAGCAACAGCCTTTCCCTAATGAAAAACAAGGCACTTGAGCGTCGCGGCGACGGGAACGCTCCCTCCGAGCGCCCCATCCTCCACGCGGGGCTGCCCGCCAGCAAGGAGGGCTCCAGAGGGGCCCACGCGGCGGTGGCAGGGCCAAAGTGCGGGTATCCGGCCGCCCGTGTCCCCCCTCGGCCTCTGCGCCCCTCCAGGAGGGCCGAAAGGAGCAGAAGCTGCGAGGGAAGGTGCTGGGCATGAGACTGAGGGAGGAAAAACTGCCTGATGCTGCGACCGGATTGCTTGGAGTGTACAGAGGATCTGGGAAGTCCTCTTGCCCTGTCAAAGATTTTCCGTGGTAAAATCACTCAGCTCTG